GGCCAGTCTGGTCTATAGAGTGAGTTCCAGGGTAGCCAGAGCTACATAGAAACCTTGTCTGGAAAACAAAAATAACAACAACAATATCATTAACAACAACAATAACAACAATATATGTATGTTTCCATGGGTGCCCATGTGTGTGGAGGTGCATGTGTAGACAGAGGCCAGAGGATTCCTTAGGATTCCCCTTAGGCACCATCCACCTTGATTTTTGAGACAGAATTTCTGCTAAGTAATGAGTCCCATGGATCCACTTGTCTCTGCCTCCCCAATTCAAGGATTGCAGGATTACTTTTTAATATGAGTTATGAAGATGTAATTCAGGCTTTCCCACCTATAAAGCAAGTATTTCTCTGAGTCACCCCCCCAGTCATTGGAATTTTCTTTTTTGGTGGTTTCATAGAAAACTAGGAATAGTTTTACCTCAAGACCCAGCTATACCATTCCTGGGCATATACTCAGAAGATGTTCCACCATCCCACAAAGACACTTGCTCAATTATGTTCATAGTAGCTTTATTTGTCACAGCCAGAAGTTGGAAACAACCTAGATGTCCCTCAACTGAAGAATGGATAAAGAAAATGTGGTACATCTACACAATGGAATGCTATACTACACAGCTATTGAAAACAAAGATATCATGAATTTTGCAGCAAATGGGTGGAACTTGAGAATATTATCCTGAGTGAGGTAACCCAGACCCAAAAGGACATACATGGTATGTACTCACTGATAAGTGGATATTAGCAATAAAATACAGGTACCATGTTACACTCTACAGACCCAAAGAAGCTAAAGAAGGAAGGCCCAATTGAGGCTGCTTGAATCTCACTCAGAAGGGTCACAGGAGGCAGCTGGAGGGAGGGAGAGAACTGGGTGGGAGAGGGGATGCAGAGGGGAATGGGGAGGTTTGGGATTAGGTGTGAGGAGAGACAGGAAAGATGGTCAGATGACCATGAGAATAAGTGGAAATCTGCAACTGACATGGATGAGGAGGTAGGGGGTATCTAGAGGACGAGACAGAGACCTCAGACAGGGGATGTGCTCAAGAATCAATGGGGGTGACCTTAGTTGAGACTCATAGTGATGGGGATATGGAACCTGAAGAGACTACTTCCTGTAGTTAGGCAGGAACCCCAGTGATGTGATAGGGACACCAACCCACCCACAAAACTTTCAACCCAAAATTTATTTTGTCTACAAGAAATGCAGGCACGAGGGATGGATCAGAGACTGAGGGAATGGCCAACCAGTAACTGGCCCAACTTAAGACCCAGCCCATGGGCAAGCACTGATCCCTGACACTATGAATGGTAGTCTGTAATGCTTGCAGACAGGTGTCTAGCATGGCTGTCCTCTGAGAGGCTACACCTGGCAGCTGACTCAGAAGGATGCAGAGACCCACAACCAAACAGTGGACAGAGCTTGGGGACTCTTATGGAAATGAACTGGGGAAAGGATTGCAGGCTCTGACGTGGATAGGAACTTCGAGGGAGGGCCAACAGAGTCAACTAACCTGGACCCTTGGTGCCCTCGGGGACTGAACCACCAACCAAAGAGCGTGCAAAGGCTGGGCCTAGAGCTCCCTACACACACTTAGCAGATGTGCAGCTTTGTCTTCCTGTGGGTCCTGAACAACTAGAATAGGGGTTTATCCCAAAAGTTGTTGCCTATCTGTGGGATATGTTCCAGTTGGGCTGCCTTGTATGGCCTCAGTGGGAGAGGATGTGCCTAGCTCCGCAGAGACTTGATGTGCCAAGGTTAGAAGATACCCACCCTCTCAGAGGACAAGGGGGGGATGGTAGGGATGGAAGGATTGTTGAAGGGGTTGACTGGGAGGAGGGGCAGTGAGCCAGATGTAAAGTGAATGAAAAAATAAAAGAATCATGCCCCTACCTCTGATTGAAATCACTACCAGCACGTAACAAACAAAAGAGCTGTCAAAAACTACTTCTTTATAACTCTTAGTTAATCATCATCCCAGATATGTTGACTTTGCTCTTTTCTTCCTTCATTGCACAAGGGAGTGGAGGTTGTGTGTGGGGGTGTTTATTAATATTTAAGAATAAAAAACAGGTTTGAAAGGAGATGTTAGTTCTTCCCAAAACACTTAAGTCTCTCAAAACAAAATATCAGTGGCTTATTCTTTTCATTATCCTGTGGGAAAGTTAGAAGAAACTGTGAGAAAAGATTAGAGACAGGTTTTTAAAAATAGTTTCCCTACTAAGAAACAATTTGGAAAAATCAAGACTTTCTGCTCCAGTTAATGCTACTTTAATATCCGCTCCAGGGGGCAGAAGATGTGGTTCGGTAGGTAGACTGCCTGCCTAGCATTCGCAAGGACCTGGGTTCCATCCCTAGCGTTGCATAAATCAAGCATGGTGATATCCATCTATGGTTCCAGAACTGTGGAGGTGGAGGTAGGAGAATCTGAAGTTATACTCAGCTACATAACAAGTTCAAGGCCAGTCTAGGATAGATGAGATGCTGTCTCAAAAAAACCCGACCCCCCCACTCATATGTGTGTGTGTGTGTATCCAACTTATTTTACTCCGATAACATAGACTTAATATATAGAAATAACAGAATACAGAGAAAGACCCCAGCATCACATAAACACATCACTCTTTAACTCACTCCCAACTTTCAGGGAGTCATGGCCAGTGGAGTTTAATTATCCCAATACTGGCTAACCACAGTCACTCTCAGGGAAACTTCTACTATGTTAAAGATGTGATTGCTTGACCTGTGGGTTATGATCCCATGATGAAGCTCCCTCTGTGGGTTTATATGAATGAAGGAAGGTGGGAGGGAGCTTGGTGTCTGAGAGGACACTGGAGCAGAGAAAGTAGTGATATGTCTTGGGCCAGTTTTCTCCATTGGATGGGGCGAAATTGTTGTGGGGGGACTCACAAAGTTCTGGGTTCACTTCTGAATATCAAGTACCTCATCTGTCAAGCTTAGTTAATAATGTAGACATTAACTGCATATGTTGTGATATTTTATACTCATCTGTCTACCTTTTTGTATTCGTGTGTGCTCATGTGTGAGTATACATGTGTGAATGGACACGTGCATATGGAGAGTATTGTTTCTCCTCAGGTTCCGTCCACTTCGTTTTTTTGAGGCAGGGTCTCCCATCATTCTGGGGTTCCCCAACTAGACTAAAGGGACTGGATGGAAACCTCAGGGATCAGTCTGTCTCTTCCTTCCTGGTGATGGTTTACAAGTACATGTTCCCATACCTGGCTTTTTACATAGGCTCTGGATTGAACACAGGTCCTCGAATGAGGCACCTCTCAGCTCTAATTTTTTTTTTTAATCTCCAGAGGTTCAAAGTATTAGGACTACTACTGTTGCCCTTATTCTTATGATGTGTTCTCTATTTGCTTGTAACATTTGAGCCTTCAAGGTAAGAAATCTGGTTCCTGGAACTAACTACTCTTTCAGTGGAATTGGAGTGAGGAGGGGGAGATGGTATAAAAAACTACCAAGATGCGAGCTTAGGAAGTTTCCAGGATGCACATCTCTGTATCTCCAAATTTTTTATCTCTTAGTTTTTCCAGGTAGTTTAAATAATGGCTTTAGGGTCCACCAGGTGGGGCCCCTGGAAACTGTCAGCTATAAATGCCCAGTTCTTGGCTTCAGCTGGAAAAAGGCTTGTGGGGTTGGAAGCAAAGGAAAAGAGGTGAGAATGTGGCAGTCTACTGCGGAAAGCTTTGTCCTCTCTGCAAATAGAAGGCTTTGTTCTAGGCTTTTCTGGGTGTTCAAGATGGAGAAAGGAGGGTCTTCATTTTAGGGCTGCCCTGGAAGCAGCCTTCTGTGCCCAGAATGAGGAATCTTATTGGGACCTGGTAGGAAGATGAGCATTCTTTCCAAGGATGCCAGAAAGTGTGTTCCCACAGAGACAGTGGGCATCTGCTTAATTCTTGGGAGGGAGTTGTTGAGGTTGGATTTAAATTTAAGTCTCATAGTTAGAATGTAGCAGTAGGCTGGAGTGGTCATGCAAACCTGTAATGTGGCACTCAAGAAAGCTGGGGTAGGAGAATCATAAGTTGGGGGCCAACCTGGGTTATACAATGAGACCCTGTCTCAAGACAATGTGCAGGGGGGTATGAGAGAGATAGAGATAGATAGATAGACAGATAAGTAGGTAGGTAGGTAGATAGATAGATAGATAGACAGACAGGTAGATAGATAGATAGATAGATAGATAGATAGATAGATAGATAGATAGATGAGAGAGGGGGGAGAGAGGCAAAGATTGGATGAAACATAAGGTTCTTTGTGTAATATGCCTGTATGTGACAGGAACTGAAAATTTCTCTCTGATTTATTATTTCTTAGTCCTGATGGGCTACTCTGACACAATACTGGAGGTTTATAAACACAGACTTTTATTTCTTGTAGTTTCAGAAAGCTGGGACATCCAAGACGAAGGAGCTAGCTGATCCATGCTATGATAAGAAAATTTTCTGGTTCCTGCAGAGCCTTACAACAAGAAAAAGTCCAGTCCTCTGACCTGTTTTATAAAAACAGCCCAGTTCCCCTTGCTCTAATTGCTTCCCGAAGCCCCACCTGTGTATTCTCGGGTTTCAATATGAATTTTGAGGGGATATAACATTTAGACCACAAAACTTTCCAAGCCCTTTTAAGATTCCCATCTAGACAGAGAGGCAGAGACCATGGAGCATGGAACTCTCTTGGTATGACATTCTCTAGGTGGGTGTCATGTTGGCCACTCTCTCAAGGAAAGTGAAGGTCATCTAGAAGCCACCCTTACACTGTGAGCCATGATCTCATGTGGTGGTTACTTAATGGGTGTTGTAAAAAATTTGGTAACAGCAGAACATGTAATGACCAAAAATGAATTCAGCGTCAGGTATGCAATGAATACAAGGTGGTTCTGGCACACAGTGCCCATGTCACATTGTGCAACTTCTCCGAAGCCTTGGTTCTGAACACACAACCTGTGCACTTTGCACTGTGCAGGCTGTGCACAGTGCAACGCCAAGGAACACCTCCTGAAACATCTCCGCTGAGAATCAAGACTATTATATATAATACATTTCAGTGACTACTGTACATATAGTTTCTGGCTCTTAGAGAAACATAATGGATTCATTATGGAAAACAAAGACTTTCAATATTTTCCAGTCATCATTCCTCAACCTGTAAGTATGCTATTAGTATATTTTTAGATTGTACTGTGTTAGAATGTTTATTGTAAGTATTGCTATCCTAGGGCTAGGAATGTATCTCAGACTGCAGACCACTTGCCTTGTATGTACAAAGTCCTGAATTTGATCCCAGCATCATATAAACTGGCATGGTGGCTTATGTCTCAAATCTCAGCACTCAAGAGGCAACAGCAGGAGGGTCAAGAGTTCAAGGTCATCCTTGGTGACCTAGAGAGCCTAGCCTGGGCTAGATGAGACCCCTGTCTTAAGAAATTGAACAAACAAACAAACAAACAAACAAAAGTTGCTGTTTGATTTGCTGGCTTGAACTTTATAAAACCGCTCAAAGAATTTTGTCTTAGAATTAAGATAGAACTCCCAAGTCTTTGTGGAATGACCATAAAAATACTTCTGCTATTCTATAGTACATACTTATGTACTATAGCATTCTCAGCACTGATAGTTATAAGAACAAAATCAATTCTGAAAAGCATTGATGATGTTCTATGTCCTGCAGTGTCAAATGTACAACCAACATTTAATTCTTTATGTAAGCACAAACATGTTCATCTCAGTAGTATGAAAATTGGCTTTTTATCCTTAACATATATTAAAGAATTGTCTTAGTGTTCAACTTATATGCCTGTTTATATCTTGGATGGTATAAAAATATCTTGGTAGAAAGGTGTCCTGACTGGGAAACACTTGAGAAGCTTCAGGACAAAGACCACCACGAGAGCCCTGGGCATTTTGGATGGCTTTTTGTTTGTTTGCTTTAAGAGGTTCAAACAAAATGAAAACCTGTGACTTTGGAATTTAATGCTCCTTGCTTTCACTAGACCTGGGGGCTGTCATGAATGTGTGTTTGTGTGCGTGTGTCTATGTTTTCCTAAAACTGTCAGGTTAGGGAGTGCAATGTGATTCATACCTAATCTATTCATTGTAGCGTTCATCGGATGGCTCCTCATATACTGTTGAAAACAGCATTGTAAGAAGAGGGCTCTGCCTGTGGCTTCCACAGAAGTCAGGCCGGGACATGCCTTTCATAAAATCATTAACATCATGAAATGTTGTCTACACTTTTATAAGGTATGATCAGAACAAGAAGTTCCCAAGCAGACAGGCCCTCATGTTGGGATGTGAGGCTAACAGGGATCTCTTTTTCCATTAGCCATGATGGGACAGGCCTTCAGAGGCAGCTCAGTTCTATTCCCAAACTTCAATCTGTTACTTCCACCCCCCTGCTCACTTACCAATGGATAAAGAAGTGCTTGAGATCAAAAGTGTTTTTGTTTTTTCCTTTGAGACAGGGTCTCATATAAGCCTTAAACTCTGGCAGCATGGAGGATGACCTTGTACATCTGATCCTCCTGCCTCCACTTCCTGAATGCTGGGACAGCAGGCATGGACCGTTTATGCGGTGTTGGAGACTCAACCCAGGGCCTGGTGCATACAGACAAGTGCTCATCGCCTGAGGTTAGCATTTTTATACAAGATTAACAGTGAGAAGAAAATTTGCTTGCACAATGAACTACCTTTTCAATAACGTTTGAGTTGATTCATGTTTTTTCCCATCTTAAATTGAGTAAATTACTAGTAATGTGAGGGTAGTCCAGAATATGACAGACTGGGTAAAACCAGACACTGACCTAAATTAACTTCTAGGTAGTTATAAGTATACCTTCCTTTTTCAGTATCCCCTCCCTCTCTCTTTTCCTTTCTCATTCCCTCCCTGCCTCCCCCCCTTCCTTTCCAGTCTGAAATGCACTATGTAATTGTCTCTCCTCAACCTACTGACACCAACTTTCAACATTTTTAAGGGAATGACCTGAAAGGATTTAGAGTGTGCGCTGCTCTCCCAGAGGACCTGAGTTCCCAGTATCTATAACTTCAGCTCAAGGGGATCTGATGTCTCTGGCCTCTGTGAGTACACAGTATGCTCTTGGTTTACAAATCTCTCTCTCTCTCTCTCTCTCTCTCTCTCTCTCTCTCTCTCTCTCTCTCTCTTTCTCTCTCTCTCTCTCTCACACACACACACACACACACACAAACACAACAATAATCTTTAAGGGTAGTTTCCATATACAAGAAAACACAGAGCATACTTTCCCCCATCTCAGTACTTCAGATGGAATCCAGGGCTTCCCACATACCAGGCAAACACTATCATGAGCCATGCCCACAGGTCCATCCTGCCTTGTTTCTTTTTACAGCAATCACTCTTATAGACACCGTTGTACAAATATTTCATGTCACCAATTCTAGGGATTTCTAAGATACCTGATTCCCAGGTCTCCCTAACAAGGGTTCACAGCTTAAAGATCAGACAGGAAAGGTTTCAGACAGAGTCCTGAAATAGACTGAAAAGACATTTCACAAAGCTATCTCCTGGTGCTTCTAGAACCTATTTTAAACCTTCTGGAAAGCGACCACACTCTATTTTTTAATGGTCTTTTAGTTGCAACCATGACTTTCGATCCTGTAGTTGGCAGGTGTCCTTCCAGCAGCTGAGCACATTATTTAAAAGGCAGGAGAGCTGCTTGACTCAAATTATCCAGGAATTTGAAAGGCTGTGTCAGGTGAGGGGAAAGAGAAGAGCTCCATTCAGAAGCCCCTTATCTCTTTGACCCATTGTTCTATTGAAACAAATGTAAAAGTCATCTTTAAATCGCAGGAAATCAGAGCTACCAAGTAATTTAAGAATCACTCCCCCGAGAGCGAAGAAGGACTCCATCCCACTACATCTCCAAAGAAGAGAGAGATCTATGAACAGAGATGTTGGGAGACACTGGGAAAGGTCCAGAAAGAATCCAGCATATTAGTTACCGTTACCTTCTCTAGATCGGGCCATTCCTTTGGTAGAATATGAGTATGGATGTCAATTTTCATCTCCACAGGACCAGAGGAGACACGTGTATATACAAAAAGAACAATTCTGATATTGAGAGCTCGTCATGAAAATCAGAGTTCATTGACTCCTCTGTCCCCTTATGTCTACCTTCAGATACCAGTCAGGAGGCCTGGCCAGCCTAGGTTTTGTTCAGGCCAACTGCCCTATTAAAGTTCAAGATTCTGTTTGTCTGCTTGGCTTTGAGCCAGCATTCTTTGGTAACTAGGACTCAGCACAAAATTAAAAAAAAAATTCAACGAGAAAACAGGAATGTACTTAACTTTAGAGGTCAAAAGTACAGCATGCTGCCTTGATTCACTAGTAGCTCCAAACTTGGCTGATTCAGAGATGGGGATGTAGCTCAGTTGGCAGAAGGCTTGCCTAACATGAATGAAGTCCTGGGCTCCACTCACAGCACCACTTCAACGAGACATGGTGGTGCACACTTATAATTATGGTGCCTTGGAGATGGTGGCAGGCAGATCGAAGTTCAAGGTCACTTTTGGCTTCAAAGCATGTCCTAGGCTGGTCTGTACATGAGACCCTGCCTCCAGGGGGGAAAATTGACTAATTTTTTGTTTTGATATTTAAAATTTATTAAGATGCAGTCTATTAAAAAACAACTAGCATGTGTTTAGACACAATGTCATTCAGGGGAGTTTTAAAGATAAATGATTTATCCCCAGTTCATCTCTTCTTATATTTAGTTTTATTAACTAAAAGAAACTCACTTTACTGCCTTTTGGTTTTTGTTTTTGATCCAGTTAGCGATTTCCAGGTCTTTAAATTTATTTATTTATTTATTTATATTTATTTATTTATTTTTGAGACAGACTTCCTCTGTGTAAACGCTCTGGCTGTTCTGGAACTCATTTTGTAGACAAGGATGGCCTTGAACTCTCAGAGATCCATTTGCCTTTGCCTTTCAAATGCTGGCATTAAAGGCATATACCATCATGCAGAGCTAAATCATATTTAAAAATTGACTTGCTCATGAAAATTTAACATGTTGAAAACATGGTAGGAGAAGTTTCTTTTTTCTTGTCTTTTTAAATTATTTTAATTGTATAAATATTCTGCCTACATGTGTGTCTGGTGTCCACAGAGATCAGAAAGGGACATTGAAACTGGAGCTATATGGCATTGGATCCCCTGGAACTAGAGTTATAGATGCTTGTGAGCTACCATGTGCATGATGGGAATCGAACCCTGGTCCTCTGGAAGAGCAGTTAGTGTTCCTAATCACTGAACCATCTCTCCAGACATGGGAAGTTTCATCCTCATTTGGGTCATCTGCTTTCTGTTTGGGCTACATTTTGTTCTTCGCCTTTGGTTTTTTATCTACCAACTACATGTCTTTTCATTTAGTCATACACACATGTATTTAGCATACACTTACTTAGAGCTGTGTTTAAAATGTTGGGAGAAGTTTCATCTTATAGAAGATATTCACCATTCAGGTTATGTTTTATCCACATTGACTTTTCATTTCATTCATTCATTCATCCATCCATCCATCCATCCATTCATTCACTCACTTATGCATGCATTTAACAAACATATATGGTGAGCTCTTCTGTGCTGAGGATATAAGGCTGAATGAGATAAGGTGATGTACTTCCTATAATAATAGGTCATTGCATATAGCCTGTGCATTAGGGACAGGAAACAACCATCATTCCAGTTGAGGGCAGGTCGTGTGGTTCGGGAGAGTGTCCACTGGAGCATAAAGTGGGGCTTACGGTCACGGCACCAAGAGGAGCCTGGGATGAACCAGTTCTTACTGCTTTATTCTATATTTACTTTTTCTCATCCTGGAAAGGAAAACGTTCAAGGGACCCTAGGGGCTTTGACAAAACCTTGCATCTGCTTTAGGGATGTTCCTCTCTGTTTAATCTCTTCAACACAGAAACTAAGTAGTCAAAAAGCCTTCTGGCTGTAATTCACCTTGATTCTGGATAAGTTATAAAAGAATATATTGGTGATTGATAGTCAGCCTGAGAGGAAATGAGGGATAGTTTCAATTCTCTTACCTTTCCTTCTTTCCATAGACAAATTTTCATATTGCTTGGGCTGTCCTCAAAGTCTTAGGTAGGATTACCTTGAATTCTTGATCCTCTTGCTGTCATGCCTAGTGTTGTCATTACAGGCAAATAGTACCACACCCACATTGGGAGTTGGTCTGAGCTACTATGTGTTCAAATGCTAAATACTGGCACTCAAGTTCTGGTTGTCCTAAGTAGCAGATCCTCATTACAGCAAGTGATGCTATGTAAACTTTGCTCCCCAATGTATAACTATTGGTTAATAAAGGTGGCTACAGCTAATTACTTGGGAGAATAGAGGTTGGTGGAGTTTCAGTTACTGGACTGGGGGTCACAGGTAGGGACCAGGAGAAGGAGGGTGAAGGGAGTGGAGGAGGAAGAAGAGGGAGAGAACAGGAGGTCTCCATTAAACTTGATGGACCAGGAGCATGTGCCCAAGTGAAATGCTCCCCAGGACAGACTGCTGGAACAGAAGTAACCCGGGCAAGACTTAAACAGCAAATGTTTGTAGAGCACAGCTGGGGAATTAACACTCTAGCATATAGAAAGAAAGATTAAAGGTAATTCTCCCAGTGATTGTGCAAGAGCTGATTAATAAATCCATAGGACTCTGCCTTGGTTATGGGGGGAGCTGTTTGGGTCATATTAATAATTAATAGAGATTATTAAAATCTATTTATACACACAGCATTTCCTTCCTTCTTCCCTCCCTCCCCCCTTTCTTTCTCTTTCTACAGGGTCTGGTGTATCCCAGGCTGTCCTCAAAAGCTGGGTATGACCTTGAACTCCTGGTCCACCTCTTTCCTCTTTCTGAGGGTTGGGACCAATAGCCTGCAGTAGCAGGCCCAGTTTATACAGTTTGGATGGAATTCATGGGCTCTGCACACACCCCAGCCTTTCCCTCCCTCCCTCCCCTGTTCGAGTTACTCTGACCCCACTGCATCTCACCATGTTTCTTTCTTTTGTCCATTTTCACATTCAGTCCCTTTTCTCGCCTCACAACTCATTAATTGCTACAAATGGTCACTGGCTCCAGTCTTTGATCCCTGTGGTTTGTCCCCCAAGACTGTCTGGACCCATTATGATCTTTTATGACCACATGCCTTTTGGCATATCACTGTTCATGGTTTCTCACTGCTAGGTCCATTTGAAACCCGTAGCCCTTAATGTCCACTTAAACCCATGAGCAGCACAGCACTGCCAGTAAGTCTCCATCCCCCTTGTCCCTATATGCTGCCTACTGTGCCCTCTGCCCCAGCTACGGGCCACATTTTTGTGCCTTCTTAAATATAATTGTAGTTCCCTTTCCTCTCTATTGTTTCCTTGGGTCTTATGTCTGCAACAAAGGCCTCTCTTTGTTGTCTTTTTAACTCCAGCCATGACTTGCTATTTGGCTTAAACATTTTCTCTTCTGATCATTCACTCACTTATGCATGTATTTATCAAACATATGTGCAGAGCTACTCTGTGCTGAGGACATAATGTTGAATGAGATAAGATGATATACTTCCTATAATAGTGGATCATGTGCTGTATACAATGTCCTATTACTCCTATACCCTGGTGATAAAATGGACCACCCATACAACAACTCCACCTTGCCTACCCCAGACTCAATTAAGGGAATGAGTAGAAAGGACCCTGACAGAAGTGTAAGTTCAAGTTTATCTCCAAAGATATCTGAACTCCTTTCTCCTGCTTCCGTCCACCCCTGAATCCCTGGGATTAGGCATCCAGAGACTTTTTGACCTCTTTCTCCTTCGCAATGGTAGACAAGTTGTTTCTAGTCAGAGACTGGGCCCTGATAGCTCCCTAACAAGCTGGGCTCTGCCTAGTTAAAGAGGTAAGTAATAATGGGAAGCAGAGAGGAGCTTTTCTCAGTGTGATCACAATGTGAAGAGGAGCAGAGAGGTCCTCTGGCCCTTTGAGTCCATGTTCGGGCCCCGGGGTTAGGTTTAAATAGAAGGTAACGTGATGCATAATAAGGA